TATATGTGTGTTATCATATTATTGTAATAACTATTTTAATTTATCTAATTTATCTCAGCATAAAATAAAAATATATTTATAAGATTTATTATGATTAAAATGACTTATTATATAATTATTAAATATATAACACTGCAAATAAATATCAAAAGTTATCATAATAATAATACAATAAGTATATGATTAATGTAATTATAATAATTCTATTTTATTCTATACACACACATATATGTAGTTATAAGTATTTAAATAAATATGATCATATTTCTATTTATGCTGAGATTTATAATATAATTCTAAAAATAAACATACTGTTTACTATAAATATTAAAATATTATATTTAAATATTTAAATTGTGTGTGTGTGTGTGTGTGTGATTATATAATTGTATATTAATTTTATTTAAATATTTTACTACAAATAAATATTAAGTGCTATTATTAAATTCTAAACATATTTTATATAATTATAAATATATTTATGTACTATAAAAATAATCATGTGTGTGCCAGATATATTAGCTTTATTAGTGCAGTTTTCTTTCCTCTGTTGATGCATTTCTTGTTAAAACAGGACGTTGTAGCAAGACATAGCAACATGCAATGCAAAAATATCTTAACTCAAAAAATAGTCTTTTTTATTAATGCAAAATAGACAGAATGCAAATTTGGTGTGAATTTATTGACTGAATTATGATAAAAGGTGTGAGAGATGAAATAATTTAGCTAACGACGGCTCTTCCTACTATGTGGGAAAAGCTGATTTTTGTGCACACAGACTTTAAGCATGTGAAGGTCTGAAACTGTTTTTTGGTTTAATGCCAGATGTTTTGCCATTCTCATAAAGTTTGCAGAACAAAATGAATGTCAGTGAAAAAAAAACATCTTCAGACTTGTACAGATGTATTTTTTTTTGTGTCTCACAGGTTCCATTTGTAATTGTCTGCAAAGCTGCTTTCTATATTTTAAGCAGACTGAAATAGAATTAAGTTCGTGAAGAGCATAAATTCACTGGAGGATGTCCAGACTTTTGACTGCTGGTGTAGATACATTTATTTTTGTTATTATTTGTTCTTGATTTTTCTCTGCGGCGTCTTTGAGATTCACAGTGCAATTACTCTGGCACGCATGACACAGATTGAGCCAAGCAGGGACATGAGCCCACAACCAAGAGTTATTAAAATGATAATAAATCCCATTACCTTCTGGAAATTGAATCTTTCCGATTCACCTGAAAAACAGGAGAAAGGTTTGTTTTCTTGAGCGGGCTGAATGTAATCTGCGACTGCAGTGCTAATTGCTGCAGCGTGGGAATGGCTAACGAGTGTCAGTGATAGTGATGATTTACATGTCAATAGAGCGCAGGGTGGATACCAACATTCCTGCCATTGTGTTTGTTGACTCCGATTACAGAACCCGGATCATCCGGGAGCCCAGCACAATGAAGGGTGTGCATATTAATAGGAAGCATTCGCTTATGATCCTGATTATGATCCCAAGAATAAACCGAATGAATGGCATGAAACCTGCTGAGAAAACATCTGGGGGATATTTAACCTCATTTATTCATTTCATTTCATTTATGCATTTAGCAGACGCTTTTATCCAAAGCGACTTACAGTGCATTCAGGCTATACATTTTTTTACCAGTATGTGTGTTCCCTGGGAATCGAACCCACGACCTTTTGCACTGCTAACGCAATGCTCTACCACTGAGCCACAGGAACATCAAAAAAAAAACTCAAAAGCAAAAAAATCAAAGGATGGAAATGCACAATTATATTTAAAAATAAAAAGATATAGTATAATTCATTCATTAATCATTTATATATTGTAAATTAATAAAGTATATAATAATAGTATATATTAGATCACGTGTCTATCGGAGGTCTTGGGGACAGTTTCTACGAGTACCTGATCAAATCCTACCTGATGTCAGACAAGACGGATCAGGAGGCCCAGAAGATGTACTACAGCGCCATGGAGGTACACAAACAGCATTCATACAACTCACTTTCCTTGCTATTTAGTTGCACATGCTGTTTCTAGTCTTCGGTATGTTCAGTAAAAATAAAGAAGTAGAAATGAGCGACTGCACAGGCGGTAAGTGTGTAAAATAGATTGCATGCTTTAATTTAAGCTTGATTAGATTAGTTTAAGATTAGTTTCACCTCAAGCCTCACGCTCATAATGATCTGAGAGGAGAAATATAACAGAGCGAACACATTCTCCCTTATTCTCACTTAATTAGCATATTAGCTTTTTCATTACCTATTGTTTCCCTTGAAGAATGAGGTCTGCCAAGATATTAATTACAATTATAATCAGGAGAGGCCAATTTCTTCCGCCTGACGTTAAATTATCAAACATGTTATCAAATATCCAGTCCTTTGTGCAATGCTTTTAATTAGTTTGAGAGGTTTTATTGGTGAAAAAGTTGATGTGAAATGTTTGCAACTGATATAATATTTGATGTTTGTCTCGATAGTCATGCATTTGCTCTGATTTTGATTTCACGTTGACTTGAAGTGGGTTGTTTACATTTGATGATGCAAAAATGCAGAAACCTGTGATGCACGCAAAGAAAAACCATCTGAACGAGTTTTGCGTGGAAAAGCAGAACAAAACCATACGATGAGTCATTCGCTATTGATCGTCCGTGATGGTTTGCGCTGTTTTCTGCTTCTCTAAAGAGGTGCAAGCATAAAAACGCAGAGGAAGAGACTCGGAAATGTTTTCTCATATAGTCTTTGGCAGATTTATACACCTTCGAGACTCAAAGTCCCGATAGAATCTCAATGAGGCTTGACTTCAATTCTCCACGCTGCATACGGTCTTATACTATGCATAAAACATTTCATGCATAAACGTCACCTCCTACAGCAATATGTGCACACCATCCTGCTTTCATATGTGCTTTATTGAAATCCAGCGTCGCCTTCATTTCAAAGCACTTTACAAAGCGAGTGGATGTTTCTTCACTCTCACACAAAACATGTCCAGCCTTCTGTGTTTCATAGGAACCGCATGCGGCTGCGATTAATAGCTGCATTATCTTCAGCGTGTGCACATTGTTCTGAGCATCTCAGGCTCCATCACTCAAATATGCTTTCAGAAAGAGCTGGAAGCTGAAATTCACCGCTACACTGTTAAAGATAATTTTTATGAAGCTGAAAATAAAACAAAAGGTATGCTTTACAAAAAATAAATAAATAAATAAAATACTGCCAGTCTTTGTACTTCAAAATTTCTGTTTTAGAAAACCTATTAAAAAGTATTAATTAATTGATGTAAAGTTGAAATAAAAAAGAAATATTACATGAAAAACTTAAACTAAAAAAAAAATAAATGAACATTACAATTGTAAAGTTAAAGTATTAAATTGCTAAAATTAAACTAAAATTTAAATTTTTTTTAAAAGAAAATACTATTATGAATAGTATTTATAATAGTATTTAATAAAAGAAAATACTATTTATGCATTTCTTCTTCAAAAGTTTTATTTATTTAAAAAAAAATGTTTGTTAATTGAAGCTAGAATAAGAAAAATATTAGATGAAAAACTTAAACTAGAAATGTTGCCTGGGCAACTAACTAAAATAAGTTGAAGTACTAAAATTACTAAAGGTGAAATAAATTTGAGCTATATAGAAATATGAAAAAAATAATAAAATGGCAAAAACTTAAACTAAAGCCTAAACTAAACTGAAAATATAATAATAAAAGCTTGCCGTTTAGTTAGTGATTTGACTTTGAAAAAAATATTATTTTTGAAGTTGTAAGTAAAACAAAAAGTAAGTTTTTTTGCAAATTTGCATCTTATTAAAACTTAAAAATGATTTTCGTTAATTGAAGCTGGAATAAAAAACATTTATTAAAATAAAAACTAAAAAAAAAAAAAACAATGAAAATTAGAACTAAATTAAGTTGAAGTACTCAAATTAAAACAGAAATAAAAATAAATGAAAGCTATATAGATATATAAAAACTAGTAAAAATGGCATTTTTTTTTACTAAATTAGTAACACTAAGCTGAAAATATAATAATAAAAGCTAATTTCAAATATTAATAACTACTATAGCAGTATATAAATAATGTTTATTGGAGGGTGTTGCTGTTTAGTTAGTAAGTGATTTGACTCTTAAATAGTATGTTTTAAGACATAAGATCCGTCCCAATCGTATACTTATGCACTATTCTATGACGTTTTGTAGTATAAATGGTGCGAGTAGTGCGTTCACACTGGAAATTCCAAAAAGAAAAAGTGCACTGTAAATACCCGGATGATGCACTTAAATAACCGAAAAAACGAAGTGTGGAATGTTGGACACTTCATGCACTCAACTGTCGCAGCTTTAATTACATAGCGAAGGGGGAGGGGCTATCAGACTCCGATTATGAATGACAAAATAACCTTATATAATTCATACACTACATGGTTGAGTACATAGTGCATAAGTACATAGTGTATGAGTGTATAGTGTATAGTGTGTCATTTGGGATGCAGCTATAGTCTTTAATTCAGAATTTCATGTTAAATTCAGTGTGTTGAGTAATTTACTAGCAATTTAAAAGCAATTCCTAAAGCAGGTTTTTGCAATCAGTCTATCCCAGCTGTGTTGTATTTAGCAGACTGATCTCGCTGTGTGTTTGCAGGCCATCGAGACGAACCTGGTGCAGAAGTCTCCGGGTGGCCTGACGTACCTGGCCGAGTGGCGAGGAGGAATCCTGGACCATAAGATGGGGCATCTGGCCTGTTTCTCCGGCGGGATGATCGGCATCGGCGCTGACGACGGGCCGGCGGGACAAAGGCAGCATTACCTGGACCTGGCCGCTGAAATCACTCACACCTGCCACGAGTCCTACAGCCGCTCAGGTCAGCATCACTCCATCTCTGTGCTCTGTGCACCTGAGTCAGCTCTTTAAAATGCTTTCAACTACATACTAATGTTATTTTAGCATCATTAATACCATTACAGTATTTATTAATCAGTTGAGTTTAGATTTATATTTTAATTTTAGTTTAAATTTGAGTAATTTTGTTGTTTGTGTAATTTTTATATTTTTTGTTTCATTTTACCCCCCAATTTTAGTATTTTAGTAATTTAATTTTAGTACTTAAATGATTTGAATAATTTGTATTTTGTTTTTATATTTTCTGTTTTTATTCTAATTTTAGTTTTAAGTAATTTAGTTTTTTTGTTGTTGTTTTAATTCATATTTGTATTTACTTTTTATTTACTTTTTATTTTTTGGGATTTTAGTACTTAAAGGGATAGTTCACCCAAAAATGAAAATTCTGTCATTAATTACTCACCCTCATGTCGTTCCAAACCCGTAAGACCTCCGTTCATCTTCGGGAACAAAAAAAAAATATATTTTGAATGAAATCCGAGAGCTCTCTGACTCTCCATAGACAGCAAGGTTACTACCACGATCAAAGCTCAGAAACATAGCAAGGGCATCGGTAAAATAATCCATGTGACATCAGTGGTTTAACCGTAACTTTACGAAGCTACGAGAATACTTTTTATGCGCAAAGAAAACAAAAATAATTACTTTATTCAACAATTCGTCTCCTCCGCGTCACCCTATAGTGCCATTTTGGAGAGTATCACATACGTAAACAACGTATTCAACGTATGTACTCAGATACGTTGTTTACATTCAGATTAAAGCGCAAACAACGTAAACACTGTATCCGCGTGCCCTTGCTATGTTTCTGAGCCTTGATCGTGTAAGGATCCTTGCTGCTTCCACATTGTATGGACTACAAACACTAAGAAAGTCTTACAGGTTTGGAACGACATGAGGACAAGTAATTAATGACAGAATTTTCATTTTTGGGTGAACTATCCCTTTAATTTAAACGGAAAGTGTAATTGTTGAATTGGCAACTAACTAGGGCTGCCCTCGACTAAGGATTTTTCTGGTCGACTTGTAGTCGTTCATTTGAAGCATTAGTCGACTAATCGCACGTTTATTAATAAACTATTTAAATCATTATAATGAGCCTTTAATTGCCTACATAGCCTAATATGTGCTCAAGTACACGCATAAAGCTTGCCACAGTGCACCGGCAGAAGTAATGATTATGAATGTGTCAGGGAAAAACAGTAAGGAGACTGCATTAACATTTTAATAATTTGATATACTAGTGCTTACTTTGTTTTCGAATTAAGAGATGAAGTCGACGACACTGACTCGTCATCTCCGCAGTAGTGATGCGCCTGTGTGCATGTTTCATACGGATTACATAATCTGAGAATTTGTTTTCCATTTGAATGGGTTCTTTTGAAAGTAGACATTTCACTCTCTAGAGATATATTTTTAATGTCTGTAAGGCAAAGATATACACAGAGTTTCGCGCTCTAGTTCACAAAGACGGCAGAAAGCGCATCATGTTTGCTTTCATTATTTTACTAAAGCACGGTATTGTGAGTGCACACAAATAAACGTAGAGTCTTTACAGATTTGAAAGATGTTATTACTTCTTATCTGTATGACCAAAAATGAGGGAATATTTTAATACAGTCCGTAGTACAGACACTTCAATAGCGGACATTTCTTTAGGATAACATTAGATTGAGCGGCCATGTAGAGTTGCTAATACTTACATATTTCAGATGATAAGCCATACTGAGGTCGATGAATGATAGGCGAGCGTTTGGATGTCCTCCCCGATGTACTGTATTACTATAGACTAGCTGTTAACAATCTGTTAGTCACGGATGTGCGTGACTTCGCCTGTGCATTTATTTCATTTTTTTTCTGCGACTAATAACATTTTGGTCGACCAAGCCTCTTCTCGTCGACTAACGATTAGTCGACTATTAGGGGGCAGCCCTTCAACTAACTGAAATAAATACGATTTTTGTTTCATTTCCGTTAATGTTTATTGTTTTGTTAAATATTGATATTTACTTTTTATTTCTGTGGTAATAATTTTAGTATTTCAACTAAATAAAAATTTGAAATATTTGTTTGGAAGCTATGTGAAATAAATAAATTAATGAATTTATTTATTTTAAATTCATGTCACAGTGTTGTTATTGTCAACTAAAACTATTACAATTATAAATATAAAATATAATAATAATAATAATAATAATATGAATTTATGTTAGATGAAAGACTAAATTTAATTAAAAAATTTAAATGAAAATTAGAAATGTTTCATTGCTGACTAACGGAAATAAGTTTAAGATGAAGTAGTAAAATGACCAAAATATCAAAATTAATTCAAGCTATATATAAACATATACAAAAAATTTAAATTGCAAAAGCATATAAATTTACTAAAACTAAACTGAAAATATAATAAAATATACAAATAAAAGCTAATATAAATGTTACATATTCTCACTATATTAACTACAAATTTTGCCTCAAACTCCTAATTTGCTGCAAGACGGCAGAAAGCGCATCATGTTTGCTTTCATTATTTTACTAAAGCACGGTATTGTGAGTGCACACAAATAAACGTAGAGTCTTTACAGATTTGAAAGATGTTATTACTTCTTATCTGTATGACCAAAAATGAGGGAATATTTTAATACAGTCCGTAGTACAGACACTTCAATAGCGGACATTTCTTTAGGATAACATTAGATTGAGCGGCCATGTAGAGTTGCTAATACTTACATATTTCAGATGATAAGCCATACTGAGGTCGATGAATGATAGGCGAGCGTTTGGATGTCCTCCCCGATGTACTGTATTACTATAGACTAGCTGTTAACAATCTGTTAGTCACGGATGTGCGTGACTTCGCCTGTGCATTTATTTCATTTTTTTTCTGCGACTAATAACATTTTGGTCGACCAAGCCTCTTCTCGTCGACTAACGATTAGTCGACTATTAGGGGGCAGCCCTTCAACTAACTGAAATAAATACGATTTTTGTTTCATTTCCGTTAATGTTTATTGTTTTGTTAAATATTGATATTTACTTTTTATTTCTGTGGTAATAATTTTAGTATTTCAACTAAATAAAAATTTGAAATATTTGTTTGGAAGCTATGTGAAATAAATAAATTAATGAATTTATTTATTTTAAATTCATGTCACAGTGTTGTTATTGTCAACTAAAACTATTACAATTATAAATATAAAATATAATAATAATAATAATAATAATATGAATTTATGTTAGATGAAAGACTAAATTTAATTAAAAAATTTAAATGAAAATTAGAAATGTTTCATTGCTGACTAACGGAAATAAGTTTAAGATGAAGTAGTAAAATGACCAAAATATCAAAATTAATTCAAGCTATATATAAACATATACAAAAAATTTAAATTGCAAAAGCATATAAATTTACTAAAACTAAACTGAAAATATAATAAAATATACAAATAAAAGCTAATATAAATGTTACATATTCTCACTATATTAACTACAAATTTTGCCTCAAACTCCTAATTTGCTGCTTATTAATAGTTAGTAAGGTAGTTGTTAAGTTTAGGTATTAAGGGATCTAAAATATGGTCATGCAGAATAAGGCATTAATATGTGCGTTTATTAACAACAAGTTAATAGTGATAATTGGTCCTTAAAATAAAGTGTTACAATATTAATAAATCATATAACAATATATAAATAATGTTAAAATAACAGTGGTGTGAAGTCAGACGGAGGGTGACTCAGAAAACAGCTCCTGTGATCTGAGAGGAAGGCAGCTTCAGAAATATCCTTTGTCTTATCTTTCTGCTCATGCTTCCAGCGCGCCTGTGTTTCTGAAAGTCCAATCTGCTGGCACTCAGATAGAGGAAGGCCATTACTCTGCTGGATAATCACAGACTCAAACTGTTGCTTTCTCAGACATCAGAAGCAAACAGATGAGATGAAGCCTAACCTGCGTCAGATCAGAAATAGCTCTTCACAGCGCTCTCATCAGTAGGATCCAGACGCTGCAGATTTAGCTGGAGCGGAGGACGAGCGATAAATACCACGTTTGATCTCGTCTCAACACACTATTTCTGACCTCACGTCTCTCGTAAAATAAGATCCTCAGAGCCGCAGGGCATGAGCAGGATATGAATGAATCCCGCTGAGAACATGCCCGGGTCAGATTTTACACCAAAATCAAAAGAGTCAAATGATAAATTAGCATTGTATATCGCAAGAAAATGAAGCAAAGATATTTTCACCCCCCAAATTCTCATTTCCAAAATGCAAAAAATTATTAATGTGAAAACGGTTATATTTGAATATTTTTTAAAATTGAAGTATTTATATGCATGCATAGTCTTGTACGTATTGTACTAAGGTTATTATAGTTAACTCAAATTAAAAGTGAAGCTATTAGAACTAACTATTCAAAACATTTTCATTACTTGAAATTAAATAAACTGAATTATAAAATATCATTATTATATTTCAGCAAGGTGGCGTTTCTCATTTTAATTTCATTTAAAAAAAAAATGTTTCACGTTAACTTGATGTACTAAAATAAAAAATAAAAAATAAAACTTTATAGATACACACACACACACACACACACACACATAGTAAAATTAGTAAAGTGTATTAAAATTACTAAAACTAGTACAAATACTAAGAAAATAATAATCAATATAAAAATAATAATAATAATAATAAAAATAATTGTAAAAATCACAAAGCAAACTTAAAATCAACTAAATAGATATAACTACTAAACATGACAAAAGCAACAAAATTTGTAAATCTATATATACAGTGTTGTGAAAAAGTGTTGGCCCCCTTCCTGATTTCTTATTTTTTTGCATGTTTGTCACACTTTAATGTTTCAGATCATCAAACAAATTGAAATATTAGTAAAAGATAACATAAGTGAACACAACATGCAGTTTTTAAATGAAGGTTTTTATTATTCAGGGAAAACAAAATCCAAAACTACATGGCCCTGTGTGAAAAAGTGTTTGCCCCCTAAACCTAATAACTGGTTGGGCCACCCTTAGCAGCAACAACTGCAATCAAGCGTTTGCGATAACTTGCAATGAGTCTGTTACA